AGAAATAGATAGAGATAGAGGGATAGAAATAGAGAGAGAGAGAGAGAGAGAGAGAGAGAGAGAGAGAGAGAGAGAGAGAGAGAGAGAGAGAGAGAGGGGGGAGGGAGAGAGAGAGAGAGAGAGAGAGAGAGAGAGAGAGATCTTTGAAAAATTGTGCGTACCTACATTGATAAAGGTCACAGAACTCCGCACATGTAGGCAGGGTTATCGAACGTTATATGAAATCTTAACTATACCTTTTCATTCAATACAGCTTCCTTAAACGAGATGTTACGAACGTTCGTACTGTTATATTATCTGCGCTGGGACTAGGGATCATGTGCGGTGTGCAATTTCAGGAACTCGCATGGTATTCGAAGTGTTCAATCGCTGTTTGCTTGGAAACAAGATCTATAACGACGGACAGAGCTTTCAGATTGGTCTTTGCACATCCTGCACGTGTATGGTAAGCATGATAGTCTTACTATATATCTAGATCAATGACGCATCCAGCGAGCTATCATGACCATGACCATCATCCAAGAATCAAGACTATATAACGTTAAAAAAAACGCGAAGAAGTCGTTTTTGAGGATTTCGTTCTTCTTTCTTTTTATTGTTTCTAAAATTTGGTGCTCATCAGAAGTTAGATATTGCTATCTGAAGCAATAGAATGCGTGGCTGGACCCCGTTGAGGTAGCTTACAGCGCTTCCCCTATGCCCCCCCTCACATGGGTTTTTTTTGGGCCCCGTTGGCCCACCTCCGGATCCACCCATGATAATACCCCAATATTATCATGAATATTAGTGCTTTGTTATCAGTAATCAGAGTTACTTTTCATTTATTGCTTATTGAAAGATGTTATCGCCCAGCTGTGGTGGTGGTTGAGAAATTTATTTGATTTAGAATGATATCGGTTAAATATTCGTAGTTTCACCATTGTTTTTGAATAGGACTCTACTTCAGTATGTCATACGAAGGCTTGTCCACCGCTAGACTGTGCCCAAGAACTACAAATACAGATGAGCGAAGAGTGCTGCCCGAAGTGTATGGCCGAGGAAGAGAAGACATGTAAATACAGGAATGTCACATACGAGGTCCGTCTATAAACCGCACGAGATCTGAATTCATACTACATATAATACATTGTGAATACAAATATACACATAACAGCATAATAACAACTAACGATAACATAACATAATAACACATTATGAGCACGTGATAATAAACTCTTTGTAATTTATTATGAACAAAATATGCGTCATAATAATCGGGTCAACTGATGGAGTACTACGAGTTCACTGAAAATACGTAATCGTGTAATAAAGCTAAACTCATATAGATGTTTTTATCGTTGTTTAAGACAGTTTTTATTGTTAACAGGATGGGCAGGAATGGAAGCTGGACGCCTGTACAGTATGCGTGTGCACAGAAAGAGAGATTATGTGTCATGTAATTGAGTGCCCACAGGATCTCAAATGCTCTCAGGTGCAACATCATTTTCACGTGATTCGCGTAGCCTTTACATACATCCAATATCTAGATTTAATGGACAATTTAATTTGATTAATAAATATATAATATAATTATTAACATAAACATTAAATTGCCAATAAATTGCAATAACAATGCCCCGGCAGATTTCGTCGTCATGCATTCACCGCTAAACAATTTATTCAATGTAAAGAATGGTGTCTAGAAAAATTTCATTCTCGAAGAAGTTTGTCAAGAAGTCATTCTCATTGTTTTCTGCAGGGTTTTAAACCAAAGAAGTTGTCAAGCGAATGCTGCACAAGATGTGTTGAAGGTAAGATGTCGTTGTCGCCTAGTTAACCTTATCTGATAGTAATTAACTCTCTAAACTTTTATCTCTCTAACTGTCTAACTATCTAGCTTTAATACTCCTTTAACAACTTTAATAACTCCTACTTTTCTAGTCTTCTAGTTAAATCCTCATGAATAACTTTTAATCCTTATTTATAATTCCAGGTTTAATTTAAAATATAGTTTAATTCTATCGTTGACTGTTCCACTGACCATATGCGCCGTTACCAGGAGAATGGTAATCAGAACTGCTGTTTGATTAAAATTCAAGTCAAGTCTATTTCTTCTAGCACCAATTCAACTGTTACGACCAATCCTACGTTTTACATCTGTTGTATATATAAAATAACGTAGCCACGGCAAAGTTTATTTTAGCTTAAAAAACCGGTTCCCGGCAGTACCGTCGTCGCCAACGTCTGTAACAGAACATTCGCCGAATCCAAGGCGATGCGTATCGCTCAGTATCGGCACGTACGCATCCACCACGGCTCCACGGCGCTACGGCACACACGTCGACTCGTTACTATCTTGCAGACGACGCCGTCTGTACTGTGTACGGCGATCCACACTACATCACGTTCGATGGGAAGACGTATAACTTCCAGGGCCGGTGTAAGTACGTGCTGGCGCAGGACTGCAAGAACAAGACCTTCTCCGTGCGAGCGCAGAACGACGCCCGCGTCAGCGCCGAGTTCGCCTGGACGAAGATGATTGAAGTTGTCGTTAATAAATTAAAGATACGCATGAGGTAAATCATTTATCCTCTCTCAGAGCCTGCCCCCAGCGCTTCGTCGCCATTCTTGTCTGTGTGCAGTGCAGTTGAAGCGATGTAACGATGTAACAATGTGAAGACGTGACATGTTAAAAAATAGTTTTGGCACTCGACCCTTTTCTCTTTGGCGTATGTGTTTGGGCGCATGCGTACGCAAATGCTTGCTTGCGTACGTATGTGTGTGAGTGTGTGTGTGTGTGTGTGTGTGTGTGTGTGTGTGTGTGTGTGTGTGTGTGTGTGTGTGTGTGTGTGTGTGTGTGTGTGTGTGTGTGTGTGTGTGTGTGTGTGTGTGTGTGTGTAGTGTGTGTGTAGTGTATGTGTGTGTGTGTGTGTGTGTGTGTGTGTATGTGTGTGTGTGTGTGTGTGTGTGTGTGTGTGCGTGTGTGTAGGGGATCAGATGGCGACTAGAGGCTGCTACATCGTGACAGAGGCTGCTACATCGTGACAGAGGTTGCTATATCGTGACAGAGGCTGCTACATTGTGACAGAAGCTGCTACATCGTTACAGATGCTGCTACATTTTACAGAGGCTGCTACATCGTGACAGAGGCTGCTTCATCGTGACAGAGACTGCTACATCGTGACAGAGGTTGCTATATCGTGACAAAGGCTGCTCCATCGTGACAGAGGCTGCTACATCGTGACAGAGGCTGCTACATCGTGACAGAGACTGCCACCTCGTAACAGAGGTTACTACATCGTGACAGAAGCTGCTACATCGTGACAGAGGCTGCTACATCGTGACAGAGGCTGCTACATCGTGACATAGGTTGCTATATCGTGACGGTATCAGGACAAATAACCCTCCCCGGACAATCACTCCCGGACAATTACCCACGGACAATTACCTCCCGGACAATTACCCCCATGCCATTTACCCGCCCTGCAATTCACCCCCCGGACAATCACCCCCCGGACATTTACCCCCAGACAATTACCCCCCGGACATTTACCCCCCGGATAATTACCACCCGGACAATTTCCCCTCGGAAATTTACCCACCGGACAATTACCCCCGGACATTTACATCCGGACAATCACCCCCCGGGCATTTACCCTCCGGACAATTT